AAGAAACCGGGGCGTTGAGAATTACACGTATGTATTTCAACATCATAACTGTCTTCGATGTTGGCATTTTACCACTTTACCACAGCAGCTTTTGAGCCCCCCCTCCCCCCAATTACCGATGGGGTTCTGTTTTTTAGCAGTAAAATTGTAGAAGAACTCACTTTACTAATAAAGTACTCATAACTAACCAAACATGATCGATTATCTGATTCTCCATAAAAATTTGGACACTTATCATTTTTTTGTGGTGGTACCGCTTTTTGACAGATTGAACTGATAGTTGATTTCAACAAACCTTGTTTTATGCGGCAGTATTTCATAAAACCTTCATTAAAAAGTACAAAGCCTTTTTTCTGAACCATTTTAAGAAGACCCTGAGCCAACTGTCATAGGGAAAACTATCATGGAAAACATTTAAGTTCTCTTAAATTATGTCTTTCTGCAATAATAGTAACTATTGTCTTTGCCACAAAAAATCTTCAGTCTCTACGCTGCCTGTAAATTTTGAATCATATTTTTTAGTATAAATCATTTTTCAGTGAATTCATTTTTGTTATCATTTTAGAGAGTTTATTCAAAAAGGTATTATTCTCAGGACACCGAAAGTGATCCATGCTCAAAACTCCAGTTTAAAAAATAGCCGATAGTTTGTGCTTTCAATTTTTGACCGCAGATTTTCGAGCAAGTCTTCGGTGAAATACTAATTTTAAAACCGTCTTATATACGACCGTACCAAGAATTTTCCATAGTTCCAGTAAAATTTAAGAAATACTGCCGGATAAATCAAGTTTTGGTTGAAATCAACTATCATTCCAATCAGAAAAAAGCGGTAAAACCAAATAGTTTGATCAGCTTAGAGCAATTTTTATTAGAAAAAATCAGATAATTGATCATATTTCGTTACAAGACTGCTCGTATCAGGGCAGAGCCTTAAATAATCCCACTGCCTTGTCACTCTGATCTCAAATTGAATATTGACAAATTATGAATTTAAGACTATTACTATTTAGTTTTAAGCGTTAAAATTGGAGTCATGTATAGAAATAATTAGAACAATTGGGTTACCTCATTTCAATTTGTAACAACTTTGTAATGCGATGGAATTTTGCATGCGTAAAAAATTCCTGGTCCAATCACTTGAGCCGCATACATTTATTACCGGCAAAACACTGGCAAAAAAAAATCAAAAATTAACCATGTCATTGCGTTTCTAGACAAATTGTCTGAAAATTATCCGGGCCATTGTCACACAAATTAGCGACCAGATTTTTGAAAAAAAATCCTTCAAAAAGAAATTGATTCCATAAGGCCACGCAACTGTGCAATTAGATCAACAATCTTTTTTTTGATGCGCATAGTAAAAACAAAGAAAAAACTTCTTTATCGAAAAAGATCTTAGCGTCATTGTGATTGCTCTCGAGGCTGTGTTAACAATGAAAAAACCTATGAAAAACAACATCAACGATAGGCTATTTTATGATGCATACGCATATTTCAAGCATCAAATTTCAACAGACACCTTAAATTCGTGACGATTTATTTTATCTAAATCTAAAGGCCGTATTCGCACTTTTCAAGAGAAAGTCAATATTATGAACGAGCATAGTCATTTTCCAAATAAAGTCAATATTGAGAAATAAAAACTCAGAACAGCTCATAAATCAGGATGAAGCAGTTGTTGCAGATGAGCCACCACGTCAAACAATTCGCGTTAAACTTCCAGCGTCAAATTAAATATAAAGAATTTTGGTTTAAAACATGTCAAAATGAAAGAGTGGTCCGGCAGGATCCTAGTGGGTCCAGGGATTGATCCCGCTAGTGAGCAAAGGATCTTTTGGAAATTGGTTTGAGTACAAAAAAAACACTCCAAGCTTATATTGTCTTCCCTTTTTTGAACGTTGGAACAACAAATTTGATTTTCAATTATTCTGTCTTTATCCAGGCTCTACAAAAATTGCAGTTTTTTTTCAGCTTAAACTCATTCTGTCTTGTAAGATACTTTTCCGGTAAATGTCGATGAGTAGCATGTCTTGTCGCTACCGGTACCGAGCACCTATGGATCAGAATCCATTATTTTGTCGTTTGATAGTCAGTATCTAAAAATTTACCAAAAAATGGTTATAATCCAATAAAAATGGGTTATGATCCCAAATAATTTAATTCAAAGAAATCCATTATAATCAATTTAAAAAAATCATAATAATTTTACATTGGAATGATTCGTTATGATTGATTATTTATGAATTCTGCAGTTTTTTTTGGAAAGTTGTCTTATTTTTGTTTAAGGCAGTTGCTACGAGCTACGTTTCAAAAATGTTCACCTTTCACATAAAAATTTGTTTTGTTGAGTTTTCTTTGAAATTTCCATTCGACTGCTCAACCTTCTCTTGAGATAAAATATTGACTAGGGGGTTCTCCCTCAATTCTGGTTGCTAAGTTTTCGCAAAGAGTCCAGATCAATTTTTGGCTGGCAACACCAAAGTTTTTCTTAATGCGCCAAATTGGGTAAATTTGAGGCGCGCCAAAAAAGCGCAATTTTTTGATCAAAATTATCAAAAGTTCCCAAAATCGCCGTTTTTTGGCCTGTTTCATTTTTCTTTTGAAAGCCTGCGGCGCAGAAAATTTTTGAGCAAGTCTTCGGTGAAATACTAATTTTAAAACCGTCTTAAATACGACCGTACCAAGAAGTTTCCATAGTTCCAGTAAAATTTAAGAAATACTGCCGGATAAATCAAGTTTTGGTTGAAATCAACTATCATTCCAATCAGAAAAAAAGCGGTAAAACCAAATAGTTTGATCAGCTTAAAGCAATTTTTATTAGAAAAAATCAGATAATTGATCATATTTCGTTACAAGACTGCTCGTATCAGGGCAGAGCCTTAAATAATCCCACTGTCTTGTCACTCTGATCTCAAATTGAATATTGACAAATTATGAATTTAAGACTATAAATATTTAGTTTTAAGCGTTAAAATTGGAGTCATGTATAGAAATAATTAGAACAATTGGGTTACCTCATTTCAATTTGTAACAACTTTGTAATGCGATGGAATTTTGCATGCGTAAAAAATTCCTGGTCCAATCACTTGAGCCGCATACATTTATTACCGGCAAAACACTGGCAAAAAAAATCAAAAATTAGCCATGTCATTGCGTTTCTAGACAAATTGTCTGAAAATTATCCGGGCCATTGTCACACAAATTAGCGACCAGATTTTTGAAAAAAAATCCTTCAAAAAGAGATTGATTCCATAAGGCCACGCAACTGTGCAATTAGATCAACAATCTTTTTTTTTGATGCGCATAGTAAAAACAAAGAAAAGGCTTCTTTATCGAAAAAGATCTTAGCGTCATTGTGATTGCTCTCGAGGCTGTGTTAACAATGAAAAACCCTATGAAAAACAACATCAACGATAGGCTATTTTATGATGCATACGCATACTTCAAGCATCAAATTTCAACAGACACCTTAAATTCGTGACGATTTATTTTATCTAAATCTACAGGCCGTATTCGCACTTTTCAAGAGAAAGTCAATATTATGAACGAGCATATTCATTTTCCAAATAAAGTCAATATTGAGAAATAAAAGCTCAGAACAGCTCATAAATCAGGATGAAGCAGTTGTTGCAGATGAGCCACCACGTCAAACAATTCGCGTTAAACTTCCAGCGTCAAATTAAATATAAAGAATTTTGGTTTAAAACATGTCAAAATGAAAGAGTGGTCCGGCAGGATCCTAGTGAGTCCAGGGATTGATCCCGCTAGTGAGCAAAGGATCTTTTGGAAATTGGTTTGAGTACAAAAAAAACACTCCAAGCTTATATTGTCTTCCCTTTTTTGAACGTTGGAACAATAAATTTGATTTTCATTTATTCTGTCTTTATCCAGGCTCTACAAAAATTGCGGTTTTTTTTCAGCCTAAACTCATTCTGTCTTGTAAGATACTTTTCCGGTAAATGTCGATGAGTAGCATGTCTTGTCGCTACCGGTACCGAGCACCCATGGATCAGAATCCATTATTTTGTCGTTTGATAGTCAGTATCCAAAAATTTACCAAAAAATGGTTATAATCCAATAAAAATGGGTTATGATCCCAATTAATTTAAATCAAAGAAATCCATTATAATCAATTAAAAATAATCATAATAGTTTTACATTGGAATGAGTCGTTATGATTGATTATTTATGAATTCTGCAGTTTTTTTTGGAAAGTTGTCTTATTTTTGTTTAAGGCAGTTGCTACGAGCTACGTTTCAAAAATGTTCACCTTTCACATAAAAATTTGTTTTGTTGAGTTTTCTTTGAAATTTCCATTCGACTGCTCAACCTTCTCTTGAGATAAAATATTGACTAGGGGGTTCTCCCTCAATTCTGGTTGCTAAGTTTTCGCAAAGAGTCCAGATCAATTTTTGGCTGGCAACACCAAAGTTTTTCTTAATGCGCCAAATTGGGTAAATTTGAGGCGCGCCAAAAAAGCGCAATTTTTTGATCAAAATTATCAAAAGTTCCCAAAATCGCCGTTTTTTGGCCTGTTTCATTTTTCTTTTAAAAGCCTGCGGCGCAGAAAATTTTTGAGCAAGTCTTCAGTGAAATACTAATTTTAAAACCGTCTTATATACGACCGTACCAAGAATTTTCCATAGTTCTAGTAAAATTTAAGAAATACTGCCGGATAAATCAAGTTTTGGTTGAAATCAACTATCATTCCAATCAGAAAAAAAGCGGTAAAACCAAATAGTTTGATCAGCTTAAAGCAATTTTTATTAGAAAAAATCAGATAATTGATCATATTTCGTTACAAGACTGCTCGTATCAGGGCAGAGCCTTAAATAATCCCACTGCCTTGTCACTCTGATCTCAAATTGAATATTGACAAATTATGAATTTAAGACTATTACGATTTAGTTTTAAGCGTTAAAAAAATTGGAGTCATGTATAGAAATAATTAGAACAATTGGGTTACCTCATTTCAATTTGTAACAACTTTGTAATGCGATGGAATTTTGCATGCGTAAAAAATTCCT